TTATTTCCTACAATACTATATACTTATACAATCTCTCTCTCTCTCTCTCTCTCTCTCTCTCTCTCTCTCTCTCATGCGCGCGCGTACACATATTTACTCTTCATACAAATATGCACATTCACACATTCACCATCTCACAATTTGCACACTTACACCACCATATACACCCATAAAACTTCACAATTACTGCTTTACATAATCACACATTTACCCAAGTAACATGTGATTATCACGATAAAGTCAAGATGATATCATGTAATGTCATTTTGAGTGAAATTTTGACTGAAAGGTGATAAAGTTTCAGTCAAAATAATGTCATCTCGACGTGACAATCGCGTGTTACTTGGAGCAGGGGGGGAGAGTATGTTCCTGCACAATCAAATACGTCAATTTTACATTTAAACACTATAACTTCAACCCCTGTGCGCCCATATAATTTCGGATTCATTAAATTTTTTCACACATCTATGCAGCTACTTATACTTCCACTCACAAATCTGCAGTTTTATCATTTTACACATTTGCACATCTACTCCTATACTACTTAAAAAAAATTTCACACAGTCACTCTTTCACATGATTTACGTACCTACACGCTTATGACTCTATACGCCTCTATGCACTACATTTTCCATGGTTTCACACTTTTACATGGTCGTATACTTACGTTGCCCCATACTTACACGTTTTCGTACATTCAAACTTTTTCATATAATTACACATCTCACGTTTCCATACATTCAGTTCCATAGAAATCTTCATAGTTTTACATATTTATACTTCCACATTTCTATATACTTCCGTAATATACACATCTTTCCATTCCCAATTTTACGCATCTATAAAAGGCATATATTATACAATTTTTAAACTGTTTATTTGTTACAAATGTATTATGTATTAAAAAGGGAATGATATTATTATAAATTTATCTTTAAAAAATTAAAAAAAAAGGCACCTGATATATATAATGTGTGTGTAAAAGCTTGTTAGAAAAAAAAATGATATTTTAATGTGAAAAAGATATTTTATAAATAATATAATTTCGATATAATAATATTATTTCGATTATTTCGATTGTTGGGAAAAAGTATCTTTTACAAAAATATTTTATTTTTATTAAAAGAACTGTGTTAAATTGTTAAGAAAAATTATTGTATAATGTTGTAATTCTCTACAAAAACAAAATAAGATATAAAAAATTGCGCCGATTAATTCCAATATTAAAATATTAATGCTCATTTATTATATAAATATATAACATTTCAATGAACTTAACTGAACGTAATTATAATTGCGATATATATATATATATATATATATATGTGTATATGTATATATAATATTTTCGTACAAATGTTTTTTTTTAAATAAAGCAAAATAAAGAGAATTGGGTTATATTACTGGTGGAGTGAAAAAATGTGTAAAAAAATCAAAAAAGATAAAAGAGATAACAAAAAATACAACAATTTAATTGAAATAAAACATATTTAATGCAAAACACTTAATTTTGCTAGATCTCAAAATATAATAAAATAATTAAAATAAAATAAAATATAATAAAATAATCATTTGCAATTTAGAATTTTAGGAAACAAAGTTTATTCTCTAATGATATTACAATGATTTTAATATCGTTTAAACTAATTTATAAATTTTTAATTTTAATTCTAACGAATTTTCTTATCTAATAAATTAAGTTATCAATTTCAAGATGAATCTTTCTCATTTTTAACATATTTTATTATATCTTATAAACTAATTTATAATTTTTAAAACTAATCTTAATTTTAACAATATTCGATCTTATATTAAATATTTAATATTATTATATTAGTATTACTTATTAATATTATTATTAAACGTTCTCACAAATATACAAATATGCATATATGCATATCTTCATTTATTAATTTTTATTATATTTTATTTAGCCAAGTCTTTATGCACTAAACACTTTTTATTTAAATGAAATTATTTCATTTTGTACTATGTTTATGTTATTTCTTTTATTCTTTTCGATTTTTTACACATTCATTCATATCATTAGGAATATATCCGATTAAGTCTATTTTGAAGAATTTTGAAGAATTTTTTAAGAAAAAATTTATGCCAAAATATCACGTAAATATAGTACAATTATAATTACATTCGGTATATAATTAAACTTATTAAAATATTATATGTCTACATGATAAATATACACATTTATTTTAATATCAGAATTATAATTATTACAATTTTTCATATCTCATTGTTTTTTTCATGGAAAACTAAAATTTTATATTGTACAATAATTTTTTTAAATTTAGCATAGTTTTTTCAATTAAAATAAAATAACACTTTTGTAAGATAATTTTTTCCAATAATAATCAAAATAACATTATTTCATAAAACATCTTCTCCATTAAAATATCATTTTTTGTTTAACAATCTTTCACACACACTCTTTAAAACATCAAATAGAGATTTTGATTAAAAGAAATTAAAGTAAACAAATTAAATTTATGATTTTTAATATTTTCATGAAAAAAATATTTTTCCGAATTAATAACAGAAACTTTTGATTGTAAATATTCACTGAAATCAATCAAGAAATAAAAAAAACAGTAATTAGAAAATAGTACAGAAAAAATTTTAATTATATATCGAATAATTTAAAAATACGTACAACGTTAAATTAATTAATTATATTATATTAATAATTTTCCGGGTTTTTTAAAAGAATACACATTTATTTGATATTTGAATTTATCGAAGTTAATTGTCGTCGTTTTCTCGCCATGCTTTAATTCCTTCGTTACATTTATTTTCTGTCATTGTAAAGATAACGTATTTTGACAATCATATGTCTGTTATGTTGTACCTTACTGTCATCGCAAAAAAAAAAGATACAAGTTATATGAAAGTATTTTCTTTGACATATTTTATGATTGATTAATATTGAAGATATATAATTAGGTAAAGGTAAATGCTCCAATGATCAAACACGTTTCCATATTCGAACACTTATATAATTATTATCAAATGATTTTTTATTATAATATTAAAATTTATTTGTGTTCTTTAAACATTTAAAGATATATATATATATATATTAAGTCATTTTAAATATTATAAAAATTGATAAGCAAAGAGAGATAGATTTGTTGCACAATTAAATACATATACATATTTTTTAACGATAGCTCTAAGAATTTTAATTTCAACCAGATATTAGCGGTTTGTTTTCTCCAATCCAAAAATTCTTTCGCTTTCGAGGGTAATTGTCCTCTCTCAGAATAACTCGTACAGTAAAATCGTTTTGCTGAGCAGTGCGCGTAATTATCACAAGAGTTCCGTCTGTTCGGTTTGCAGAATAATTTCCTGTTAATAGATAGGGGACACTACCTGATTGCCTATTCAATCACTCTCACCCTCTCCCCCATTTCTCCCTGTAAAAAGATAATGCTTTTAGTTAAATAAATAAAGGCACAAAAAGCCTCTAATTTTACTTTCCTAAAGGTGTCCGATCACATAATTTTATTTTTTAATAAGAAAAATTCATGATAAATATTTACGGGTAATATTTAAAGTATCAAGCAATAATTTAATAAATAAAATTATTTTTCTGTTTCATATTCCTGGTTATGAAACTTTTATTATTGATCAATTTCGTTTATTACGCGAGAAGAAACGGCAACTATTTTCATGCGAGCTTCGCGTCGCTGATATCACCGTAGTGCGATAAGGAGAATAAGGTTTTCGTAATCTCGTCTACCAATACGTTCTTTCTCGATTCGTCATCGAAATGCGAAACAAACAAGCGGAAGCAGAGAATACACTGTAACGGTGATTTTTCGATTTTCCTCGCACGAGAGTCACGTTTCTTTCATTTAATAGACGAGACATCTCGCGAATATTCAAGCGCGTTAGTCAAACAACTCGATCCGACAAAATGACATCTTTTTCTTCTTTCAATGACTCTCGCATATAAATAATATTTTCCACACAGCACACTTTACACCGAGCGACATCCAGAGGACATTCATAGGATGTCCTAAAAACATCCCTTGAAGTTTATAGGTTATTTCTTCGAAACAGCTAGGGACAAGTTTCATCGGATGTTCCTCGAATACTTTCCATGCAAAACCATTGAAAAAAATCTCTTGTTAATTACAATGTTCCGTGAGGACAAGATAATTCATCGATAAATCCGAAATTCTCGGCGTTTCGCGGTTCCACGCCTTTGAGATTTTATTTGAATCTAACTCGAATCTAACTCGTGCTTAGATTTACCCATTATGTAATCTCATTTACGTTCATCACGCCCAGAGAGATGAGATGCACGATTCTTGATAAGCTGTAACGCGATGATAATGTAATAAAAACAAAAATCAAACGAATCTAAAAAAATATGTATATATATATATATATATATATATATATATATATATATATATATATATATATATTATATACTATAGTATAGTAT